TATGTATAATAAATATATCTGTTACTGTATTACAAAAAAGCATAATCACGGGTTGCATCGAAAGGGTTCGGAAATGTTGGAAATCACATGATCGCGAATTTTTTCTGCCATCACTTTGCTACCTGTTAGAATTAATGTTCGATAGGGCATTGATTTGTATCATAATTTACTGTAAAAAAAAATGTGGTATGTGAAGAACTTACCTCCTATATAGATGACAAAAAGTAAGTGGATTGGTTAGAATTAACGTTTGATAGGGCATTGGTTTGTATTATAATTTACTGTAAAAAAAAAAAGTCGTATGTGAAAAACTTACCTCCTATATAGATGGCAAAAAGTAAGTGGATTAGTTATAATTAACGTTCGATAGGGCATTGATTGGTACCATTATTTACTGTAAAAAAAGAAAAAAGTCGTACATAAAGAATTTACTTGCTGTAGAAGTGACAAAAAGTAAGTGGATTAAGTTAGAATTAACGTTTGATAGGTAATTGATTTGTACCATCATTTACTATAAAAAAAAGTCGTATATAAAGAACTTACCTCCTATATACAGTAGATGACAAAAAGTAAGTGGATTAGTTAGAATTAACGTTCGATAGGACATTGATTTGTATCATAATTTACTGTAAAAAAAGAAAAAAGCCGTAAAGAATTTACTCGCTGAGAAGTGACAAAAAAGTAAGTGGATTAGTTAGAATTAACGTTCGATAGGTCATTGATTTGTACCATCATTTACTGTAAAAAAAAGTCGTATGTAAAGAACTTACCTCCTACATAGATGACAAAAAGTAAGTGGATTAGTTAGAATTAACATTCGATAGGGCATTGATTTGTATTATAATTTATTGTAAAAAAAAAAATATCGTATGTGAAGAACTTACCTCCTATATATATGACAAAAAGTAAGTGGATTAGTTAAAATTAACGTTTGATAGGACATTGATTTGTATCATAATTTACTATAAAAAAAAAATGTTGTATGTGAAGAACTTACCTCCTATATAGATGTCAAAAAGTAAGTAGATTACCGTAAATTTTCAAAATAACTGGCATGGGCGTTATTTTGGGTTTTGGCCCGAATTAAGCTTAATTTAGGCCAAATTTCATAATTTCACCCCTGGGTGTTATTTCGAAAATTCACGGTAGTTAGAATTAACGTTCGATAGGGAATTGATTGGTACAATTATTTACTGTAAAAAAAGAAAAAAAGTCGTATGTAAAGAATTTACTCCTGTAGAAGTGACAAAAAAGTAAGTAGAATAGTTAGAATTAATGTTTGATAGGTCATTGTAATATCATCTACTGTAAACAAAAGTCGTATATAAAGAACTTACCTCCTATATAAATGACAAAAAGTGGATTAGTTAGAATTAACGTTCGATAGGGTATTGATTGTACCATTATCTACTGTAAAAAAAAAAAGATCTCATATGTAAAGAAAAAAGTAAGTGGATTAATTAGAATTAACGTTCGATAGGACATTGATTAGTACATTATTTACTGTAAAAAAAGAAAAAAAGTCGTACGTAAAGAATTTACTCGCTGTAGAAGAGACAAAAAAGTAAGTGGAATAATTAGAATTAGGGATGTTAAATGGTCCGCAGGGGACTGGTTCGGACCGGGTCCGGACCAGCATTTTTAGGGACTGGTTCAGAACTGGTCCAAAAAACCAGTTTTGCTCGTCATATGATATAAGTAGTGTCATTTTTAACACATTAATAACAATTTAGTAATATGTTAATCAAGAACAATACTTTTCAAGTGGTGATACAATTTCACGTGGCCCGCTTTAAATTCACTAATTGGGTGATCAATAAGCTTTTTTTGATTGGTGAATCTTATTATTAAAAGCGATGTTACTAAACTATTTATGACATTCCAAACTATGTGATGAATAGCATCACACGTTTTCAGTAATAAGTAAATATCTTCAGTAATATTATTTATCACATAGTTTGGGTAACGTCGCTAATTTAAGTGCAGATAGCTTTCATCAGTTTCTTTACGCTTTTTGATCAATAATTGCTTGAATTGATCATGGCATAATTATTAGTAAGCACTGATGACTATTACAGTTTTGTTTTCACCTTTAGATCAATAATTAGTAAGCAGTAATGAACATCGTTCTTTCTATTTGTGATCAATAACCTTTTAAGATCATAGTGTAATCACATCTAACATATAAAGTTTCTAGTGTGAATTTCTGTCTTAACGGCAATTGTTTAACTCTTGATTTATGACAATGATATTAAAAGTTGGAGTGTAAAAGGATAAGCATAAACATTCATCCATTATCAAAAATATGCAAAAAAGTGATGCTGGCGAAACAAATAATGTTAGTTATCGCTATACATGACAATTATAAATGGCCGTATCATAATTACGTCTGAATTTTCTTTATTAAATCAATGACAATTATTACATACATTCAATTCATCCCATACTTCTAATAAACTGGGAATATAATTATTTGAATCCAATACTCCCACCTAAACTAATGAAACTGTAATACAATTACATCAAACCCGAATACCCCAATATAAACTAATAAAGTATATCGAACAACCTAATCCATAATTCAATTGTATCAAACCTTACATTATCGCCTAAACTCTTTCGCGGACAAGTTCTTTTGTTTGTGCTTTTGTTGAGAATGCGTTTGTTGAGAATGCGTTTGTTGAAAATGTGTTTGTTAAGAATGTATTTGTTGAGAATATGTTCGTTGAGAATGTGTTTGTTTAACTATGATACGATTTTTTTGCTGATTATATTTTTCGTAGGTATAAAAACTGTTTAATAAAAACTTAGATCCTCTTAAAATTCCATTAGTCGTATCATGTCCTTGAATAACAATTCTGAACACTCACAAAATCTTATACCCACCTTCAATACACTTTCTCATCCAGATGATCTTTTGATCGAAGTGAGTAGTGATTCCAGCAATGAAAAACCTAATGAAAAATCCGACAAACAAGTTTCTTTTAAGCGAAGTAAAAACGCTCACCCCCTTTGGAAGTATTTTGTCCAATCTTCGGATGAAAACTATATTGATTGTAGCCTGTGCAATACTACGTATAGAATTTCAAGTGGAATTAGTACAATCAAATGACATTTCGAAAGTAACCATAAAGCTGAGTATCTTAAATCATCGACTTCACGAGGTGTAGAACATTACGGTATTCGTGATGAAAAAAAAGTCAAAAAAATAAATAGACTTTTGGTACGATGGATAGTCTGTAATCAACAGCCATTTTGTGTGGCCGAAGATGAAGACTTCCGAATGTTTGTGTTTGAACTTGACCCCGCTACAGGATTCCTACAAGACAAACAATCTCGATCCACATTTGGCGGTTATATGAAAAAGAACGTAGCCAACTACGTAGTTTTTGCAGAAATTTTGAGCATAAAGTATCAATCACAACTGATGCATGGTCAGCATGTACAAACCAGGCTTTTCTCGCAATCACTTTACATTGGATCGACGATGGGTGGCAGTTGCGTCGTATACTTTTAGATTTTGTTCCTCTACATGAACGCCATACAGGCGGTTTTTTGGCTGAGACAATTTTTCGAATAATCGAAGAATTTGGCCTAGGGAAAAAAATTCTGTCAATGACTGCCAACAATGCGAGTAACATGGATGCCTGTGGTCAACATCTTGCTAATATGTTAGCATTTCATTATGATAATACCACTTTTTGCCGGCTGCGATGTGCCGCTCATATACTTAACCTTGCCGTCGTTAATGGTCTCTCCGTAATTGATGAATCAACTAAAAAAGCAAGAAATTTCGCAAGCTGTATTTGCCGTTCCCAACCTTGCCTTGAAGAATTAAAAAAAATCTTTGCAATGAAAGGCCAACCGTTTTTAATACCTGAGCTCGATTGTGAAACCAGGTGGAACTCTTTGTACTTAATGTTAAGTAAATTATGTAAAATAAAGGATATGACGGATATATTAGTGGTTTCAATACCACACCTTAAACAACAATATATGAACGATCTCGATTGGAATAATATTAAGATTGTAATCTTACTATTAGAACCCATTTACGAAGCTATCAAATTACTTTCTTCATCAACCCATCCAACTATCGGAGACATGCGCACAGTTTTTTTGTAATTATTTCACATCTTACTGAAGCTAAAAATGAAATAAATTTGGTAAAATCGCGTATGTCAGAAAAAATCCTTGAAAAACTTGATAAATATTGGAATGAATTACAATCCTCCCTTCCCAGGGATGGTAAATGACCTGAAATGACTTCATGACTCAAGTGAATAATGACCAGTCATTGGTCATTTAAAAATATGA